ATGGTGGATGAAAAGTACTTCTTTGTCACGTTCGCTTGCAGTCATGTCCGTTATCGGCTACATAATTGGTCTGGGAGATCGTCACTTAGATAATATTTTGATAGACTTTGAGTGCGGAGAAGTTATTCATATTGATTATAACGTGTGCTTTGAAAAAGGAAAGAAACTTCGAGTTCCTGAGACAGTCCCTTTTCGCCTTACACAAAACATTGAAACTGTACTTGGAGTTACTGGAGTTGAAGGTGTCTTCAGAATCGCATGCGAAAATGTCCTTAGGGTGTTGCGGGAAAATAAAGAAATGCTAATTACATTGCTTGAAGCATTTGTATATGATCCGTTAGTTGATTGGCATCAAGACGTATCTGAAGACCGCGAAAAACAAATTATGGAAATTGAAGAAAATATAGGATTGTTAATTTCGAGAATTGGTAATATATATATATTTGTTTTATTTGTTTTTTTTTTTCAAATTTGAGTTTCTACAGGATTGCAAGATTATACAAATAATGCATGCACTTTTAGCCGAACTTAGGATTCCCCTTGAGAATAATCAAGGACATATTTCGAATTTATTATCCGAATTTCTCACAGTTTTCAAGCATATATGCGAACATTACATGAATTTATATAATCAGCAGGCGGAATTATCTGAACAACCGAGTCAAAGTCATCAGATCGAAATTCGGGAACCTGCATTCATTCACAGCCAAATTGAATTAGAAAGTCTAAAATCTGCTCTCTCACAAAGAGCTAATGAATGCGCTCTGTGGCATGCACAACACGAGAAAACTATACAGTCTATTCAAGGGCCTACTCTTCAGATTATTTATAATGAAATTTTTTCTTCAAGTTCGCAAATAGGAGCATCTATTTTCACTCCATTTTTGCAAATTCTAGCCACAAATGAATTCATGCTCCAAAGGTGCAGCAAAATTGAGCAAGAATTCATGAGCTGGATGAATGAGCGCAACGCAGCTTTCAAAAATTGCCTTGAACGTTTGCAATTTTACAGGACTTTAGTCGTTCCTTTAGTTCCTGTGTTGATGATGCAAGATTACTATTCCAAATGGCCTCAATTATTGATCTCTTTATTAGAATCGTCATTTTCAAGTCAAGACTTCCAAGCCCTATATCAAAACTCTAGATTGCCAATTGTCTCCGGCAATGCTCTGAATCATATTCGCGACGATCTTAAGATATCTTATACAAATGCTGTACAGGAAAGCGTATCTCTTGTCGAAGCATTAGCTTTGGTTACAGACAAAACGGCCATAAGCGAATCAACGCTGCACACTATGTTGAACAATATGCTCAATGAAGAAAATTCTACAAGCTTAGATTCACGCCTTTCATGCTTAGCGAGTGTGCTGTCTTCACTACTTGAACTTCATCAGTTCTTTAAGGAATCCAATGATACATCTGATGTGTTCAGCCATGTCGGATTTGGCGTTAATTTTCAGACTGTTGTTAAAGAAACTCTGTCTAACGAAACTCTCGATAAATCGTCATTTTTAACATACTTAATCATTTTATTGTCCATTTATCATCATATTCAAATTATAAAAAGTAAGTTTATTGCCTTTTTCCTCTTCTAGTTGTTACAATATAAATAGTCAATTGGTTTACATATATATATATTTTTT